CCATGTATTCAAAACCAAAGATGTCTGCACTCATAGGTATAAGGTGGGTACCACCACCCGGAATATCTGTTATTCCTAAATATGTTCGAAGGAACGACCTATACTGAGCAGGAGTTTTTTTGCTAGCCACGGTCTTCTTAGCAACATTCTTTTTTTGTGTGGAAATATTGCTAATTTCAGGCGCCTTACCCCTACTGACTTGTGCAATATCTTTAGCATGAATCTAATTATCATATAATTAGTTAGGTGAAGTATAAAATCACAAATTAGCATTTTTCATAGCATAAATGTCATATAATTGTGTTGTACCTCAATTGATGCAACTGACTCGGTTTCCCGCCTAATCCCCTTATCTTTTGGAATGGATTTTGTTGGAGTCTAACATTACCATGTAAACAAAATGTAATTAAAATTGCCTTAAAATTTTTAAATAGTAAACGGTTTTAAGCATACCTCATCATCTATACAAACGAGGCTTGACGACCATGCAACAAATGATCCTATTGCATCTGCCACCAATGTTGCATCCGCCACATCGTCAGGTAGTGGTAACAACACACCCCCCTCTAAAACAACATCAACTGATACTTCCAAAAATCTATTTGGGAGCGGTTTATGGTGAAGCATTTCTCCCGAAGTATTATGCACTTTTCCCTTGCCAACCATACAATAAGTCGGTAACGACAAATAGAGTTGACACCGGGAAATGCCCTATAACCATTAATAAATATGATTATATAACTAATAAATATGGTTATATAATTAATAAATATAGTTATATAATTAATAAATATGGTATATAATTACCTCGTAAATATTCGGTCCAAAGTTACCATTGATACTACCTTTGTCACTAGTATCTTTAAAACATGTAGCTTGATTTATTTCTTTTTCATTTCTCAGCTCATAAACTTCTTGTTGTAACTTTTCCAACTTTTCCTGAAGTTCTTTATTGCTAGGAGCTTTTGTATTTTATTTTTTCTTCAAGGATGTTGGAGTGATTCCAAATCCCTTACCCCTCACCCGACCAGAATACTCACGAATATCTAATGCTCGACTAAGTATTCTCCTGCAATCATTATCTTTATATAGAGGTATAGACTGAGAAAGAGTCTCCTGAAATTCATATGAATATTGTAATTAAAGAATGATATGTTAATAAAAGAATTATATAACTAAAAAAATAAAAGAATGATGTAATTAAATAAATAATGTTATACTTACACATCTTTCGAAAATTTGTTGAACATTTTCTTTAATAGCTCCATTCTTACACACACGGGCTTTCTTCCACAAAAATGTTCCGGAAGAGATGTTTCAGAACTATTCTCCTTTGTTAACTACATATTAAGCCAAATAACATGATCAAATATAAGTGTGCATATATTATAGATACTTTGAAATTTATAGATACTTACAATAGATTGTTGTAAGTGTGCATATCCCACGCGTTCTTTTTTGTATGGATACGTGGGACTTGATGCTCGTTGTCGATTTACGACACTTAAACTCTCAAATTTCTGGGTTTTTCTTTTGGATTTAAAAGTTTCCCATTCTTTAGGTGTAATCAAATCTGCATATTTATTTGGAAGCTCTGTATCAAGAAAAATTTTATCTGCATCCCTAAGAAACTTGTTTGATAAAAAAGCTCTAAACCCTCTATGTAATTTTTTTGCCAATTTGAGTATATATTCTCTCCTGGTATCATCAATGTTGAACGACCTCTACGAAAATCATACACAAAATGCCTTAGTATAAGTGATTTAAAGACATAATCGTCATTAAAAACAAATAACATCACATATGGTACCTGTATCTCACTCCATATTTTATCTTTAGCGTCGTTCAACACTTTTGATCTTCAATCTTCACAAGTAATTGGAATTTCTCTCCTTACCACCGAACCAAGATAACTCGTCAACGTTGAACTGTTAGGCTCAATTAGTTGGCCTTCTTTACTCCAATGCACATCATACTTTATGCCTCGATATCTATCTCGAATGATTCTCTTCACAATTGTTATTCCTCGTCTAATTTCCATTTTCGTTTTATTAACGAGCTCATCTCCATCATGCCTATAATCATCATGTGGGTGATCCTCGTTAGTAGTCATCTAACCTGTAATAAACATAAATATAAACCCAATATAAAGTTCCATAATCATTTGAATATATATAAAATTATAAACACAAACATAAACGTAAACATAAACATAAACATAAACTTAAACGTAAACATAAGCATAAACATTATCCTCCGGAAGCATATCTCTCATAAGGGCTAATAACTCTGAAACTTTTATCCGACCATCCATTGTCCTCCTTTAAGTTGTACAACTTTAATACCGCAAACAGTCTTGTGAATTTAGTGCAACCTTTATACAACGGTTTCTATGCATTTCTTACCAATCTCTCAAACATTTTTGGACAATCCTAAAGATCTTCTTCAAGTGCTTATGCAATCTCTTCGACTCGATTAAAATCATATGTATCTGTGTCCTTGTCGTCTGAAGCATAGGTCGTACTACTTTTCTCCCCCGGTTCAAAATTGTCGTTACTTTTTTCACCATGAAATATCCAACACATATAACTTCTATCAATTCCATGCATTAGTAGATGTGATTTCAATCCATCCGCGTCAACCCGACCCACATAACAACAACCCAAACAAGGATACTTCATTCAACTGGGGTCTTTGGCGTGTTCAACAGCAAACTTAACGAATTCCAATACTCCATTTTCGTACTCTTTTGACAATCAATCGGCAGACATCCATTTTTTATCCATTATTTTACTACTAAGTGTCGTTCAAAATATTGGAACAGAACAGAAACACTGAACATAACAGACATTATTTCGGTTACGCAGAAATATTATACTAATAAACGATAACACTACAGAGTAATAACTAAAGACTAACACACACAAGCACACTTGAAATCCTACAAACAACAAGAATCATTAATGTTGAATTTGATGTTAATATTTTCCAGTCATGAGAAATAGAAATAGATCCTGCCATTTTGAATCATCAAACTATATTTTTCTGGACAAATGAATTAGAACATAAAACCAACGGTTTCGCAGAGAGAAAGAGAGAAGAGAAAGAGAGAATAGTACCTTGAAAGTGACGGTGGAGGACGACGGTCAGCATTGGAGAGAGAGCCTCGTTTTACAGAGAGAAACGGTGGAGGACGACGGACAGCGGTGGAGAGAGAGACGTTGAAAAGGGTTTCGCGTAAGGAGGAAATTCGATCTGTAAAAAGAGAAACGCTACTGATTCTAATTTTTAATTTCTAATTATATGACTTTAGACAGTGCTTTTGAGAAAAGCGCTGGCTAATATGAGCCTTTAACAGCGCTTTTGAAAAGTGCTGGCTAATGTGGTCGTTTAGCAGCGCTTTTGAGATTTTTTTTTTATAAAATTTATATGACTTTAGACAGCGCTTTTGAAAAGCGATGTCTAAAGTGGTCCTTTACCAGCGCTTTTGATAAAGCGCTTTCTAAAGCAACACTTTTAGCAGCCTGTCTAAGGTCACATTTTAGCAGCGCTTTTATTTATTATTGTATACAGTTTCTGTATTTTTTTTTAATTTTATTTATAACAGCGTTTTTGTATAAAAGCGCTATCTAATGTGCGTTATTAAAAGCCCTTTTGGCGTAGTGGCAGTAAGTCTTGTAAGCAGGTACATGGCGAATCCTAGAAAGACTCACTAACAAGCATTGAAGTGGATTCTAAAGTATATAAATGGGTCTCTGAATAGAGTCTTAATTATGGTGGAGCCTTGGGTGAAGATAGTAAAACAGTAATCAAAGAGTATGTCGATTCTAATTATGTAGGTTGTATAGATTCCAGAAAATCAATTTCTGGATATGTTTTCACTATGTTTGGCACAACAATCAGTTGGAAAGCGACACTTCAGAGATTGTTGCTTTACCAACCACTGAAGTCGAATATATTACCTTCACTGAAGCTGTGGAAAAAAAACATTGTGGCTTGAAGGTTTTGATAAGGAGATGAAACTTCAAGGTCGAGTTATCATTGTTAAATGTGATAGTCAAAGTGCAATACACCTGTCGAAGAACTCAACCTATCATGAGCGAACCAAACACATCGGTGTGAGGCTGGATTTTGTTAGAGGAGTAATCGAGCGTGGAGAAGTCCAAGTGATGAAGGTTTCAACAAATCACAATGCTGTTGATATAATCACCAAGACGTTGCACAGTTACAGGTTTTTCCACTGTATTCAGTTGATAAAGCTGCATGAAGAAAGCTAGTTTGTTCTTTGATATTAGATTTTGTTTCAAGGTGGAGATTTGTGAGATATTAGATCGAACTCTATTGGGTCGAAGAGTAGCTTCTAGTTCAACAGGATTTATGCATACCGTCGAAGTATATTCACATGCTGGTGTCGAAGACCTACATACTATAGTCGAAGTGTGTTCTAGTATTTGGATGTCGAAATGCTAGAGTTGTTAATATTTCGAATTGAGTATGTTTGTTATGTTAAATTTTTTAAATTAGCTTGTAATGGGTATTTGAGAAAAAGTCCATTAGTTTAGTATGTTAGATTTATTATAAATAGTATACTAGTCTCTCATCATTGCATACGGCAAATCTTAATTTAGGGTGAGAGGGTTATTTTTTATTCTTGTGTACTTGTAATTTTGATTGAAGAGAAAGTAAAAAATACAGTTATAACCAATTCTTTCTGTTCTTCTTGTTTTATCATCTTTTCTACTCTTATGCTTATGTATTTCTTGATAAAATAAAAAAAACAATTTATACTTTACTTCCCAAGTTATCGTTTTTACAACAATAACTATAGTGACACAATAGTTTTTTTAAATAGTGAGAAACAGACCTCCAATATATATTAGGTACGCTTATTTGACTCATACTAGACATGGCAAACATCTTTTACTTCATCCAAAAGAAGACTTCAGTTAAGACCACTACTTCGAGGCTAGCTATGGCCCATGAATATTCTAAAACTTGTTCTAGTGAAAACTTGGATGTGTATGTGTGCCTTCATAGGTTGTAATCACATAACTCGGATCATCCACATCTCTCTCAACTCTCTTCTTCACTTGGCATCCATCTTTTGAACATTTATAGTAGTTCCTGTTATCAAATTACAACAACTACTTAATTAACACAAATATACATATATCTTTTTGAAGCAGTTATTTTTGAAGTTACCTTGGATTGGGGCTGTTTTTGACCATCTTCTTTCCATACTTCCTCCACTTGAATCCATCATCAAGAATTTCAACCTCTGACTTAGTTTTGAATGCAACTTTATCTTTAACTTCCTTCTTCTCACGTTCGCTGCTCGAAGCTGGTCCTTCGATCGGGCTTCCACTTCCTCCAAAATCAGCTACTAATTCATTGTCTTGGTTGGTGACATGTTCGGCAATAAATGGCTCCGGATTATCATCTGGCCATTCATCTTCGTCAAATTTCAAGTACTCAGAGAACTCCAAAGGCCATTGGTTGGTTAAGTCTAACTCAGGTGAATATGGATTTTTATCTGTCATGATTTTTTTTTTCTACCGGTATACAGTTATGGAAAAAAAACATCATGATATGTGTATATATACATAAATATAAAACTCTATAGGTTTTGTTTAATGATGATGATGTAGCTTCATAGTAAGTTTCTTAGAAACTATATTAGGAAACTTCGAGGGGTCAGTGATATATACAAAATGATGAGTGGGAATAAAAGTATGATATATAGAGCAAGGTGTAAGGGTGGGGCATGGTTGGAAAGACTAATGGAAGACTTTCAAGTTTCAAGTGGTTTTAAATATTGTAGCATATTTTGTTGTTAAATCTTAATGGGGCAGCGAATCTCGTGGTTAGACTTATCACAACCAGGAATTGCAAGTCAATGGTGATGCTGATTTCTCGAGTGACTGCGTTTCTTGGAACCATAGGTTTTTATTTTTTACATTATATCTCTTATTTATCACACATTGTAGCGTTGCGAAAAATATCTGAATTTGAGCATAACAAACGTTCCAAATATAATAGAGATACTATCGAAGTTTATTTATTCTAAAAACAAAGAAAAAAATATCAATAAAACCTTAAAAAAACAAAAATATAGTCGTCGCAACTAAATTCGGATTCGAGAGTTAGTTATGTAAGAGAAATGTATTAGCACCTCACACATTCGTTGTAATGATTTAGTTAGTTTTTGCTAATGAAGTGTTAGCATGGTGTTATTTATTTTCTTCTTGTTATTATATATTATCTATCAAATAAGAAAGATGACTGCTCTATCAAAGACAACAATGTCATTCTCTCTCCACAAACATTCACGTGGATGGCCTCAGCATTCACCCTTTTTTTTTTTTTGAAAAAAATCCAATTACATAATAGTTGTTGTTTCTAAGATTTTTCTTATTTCAAATAGTATTGATTCTTATTTTTTCTCTTTACTTCTCTATGAAGGTTATCAACACAAAGGCTATGACGGTTTCACATAACCCTTTCTATTCCATATTCCATCTGTAAAAACGGTTTCAACATCCATTACTCTACAATTGTCTCATCTTTTAGACGTCACTTATTTATAACCCTGAATACTTGAACTTCCTTCTGATCTTCATCAACCTCTCGACTCAACATCAACGTTTTCTTCTTCCCACTTCTACCGCTTCTACATGGCCAGACCTTTGGAGAAAATCTGTGACATAAATGACAGTAATGAGCTATGAAAGGTAGCTGTCAGGGTGCATCATAAGTGGACGATTGTGTCCAACAACAAAAAGCACTTTGAGATGATCTTCATAAACAAAGATGTAATTTACGTATATTGCTTGTGATTCTGTTTATTTGGTAGCATGCCGTTTGGTTTTTGTATATTTTGTTATTTTATATGCATTTAACTTTTATGTGCATTTGTGCATCATAGGATGGTGACATACATGTTATTGTCACAACAACACATATAGTTGTGTTCTATGACAAATTAGCATTGGACCATACTTACGCGGTGTCAAACTTTAAGGTTCGGGCTAATGTGTTGTCCTTCAAAACTTCTTCACACAAATTTATGGTCAAGTTTACCAGAGGAACACCCACATGGGATGATAACAAACATGAAATACCGCCCAAACCGTTGACGTTTACAAGTTTTTCTGATATCATCACCAACAGATTTAACAAAGATCTGCTGATAGGTAACCCTTAATGACCTCCCACTGTGTTCCTAAATATAATTTGAAATAACTTATATATACTGGTGCATGTAATGCTAAACTTGACTCGAATTGATTATGTAACAGGATCTTGAAATTACATCTAAGTATAACCCTGATCCAATAACACCCACTACTAAAAGACAATTTTTAGATGGATCAAGTGAATCAACAACTTTGGAAGGCTTGTGTGAAGGAGAACTCTCGTCAATCAAACTTAAGAAGATTATCAAATTTGAGAAGAACGATTAGTTGTAGATGTACTTTGTTTATGTGTCACTACGAAAAATGCGCCAGATTGTAGCGGTTATTTTGAGGCGGTTTTGAAAAACACCTTCAAATTATAATAAAAAGTGATAATTTCTATTTTATGGGATAAATATGAAACCTTTTAGACAGGGGTTTAAACCCCCATAATTTGATAAAATTTTGCTCCTTATTTGTACCATTTCAGATGTTTTTTATTTTAATTCTGATTTAATTGATTTTTGGCGCCATTTTTTTTGGATAGGTGCAAATAATTTGAACATATAAATTTTAATTATTTATTTATAATGTGTCAAAAAAATTATTTATTTATAATAATTATAATAATGTATAATATATTTTGATTATATCAAATTAATAAAGAAGAATTACAACCGTCAAAATTTATTTTATTCATCGTGTGTAAACACTCAAAACCTTCACCTTCTTCTCACGACTCACAACCATCATCTCGTTTCTGCTCACCGTTGGCTTCCCACCGTCGTCTGCTGCTCACAACAGCCTACTTCTTCTCTTCGGTTGTCTTCCTGATTAAGGTTAGATTCTTCTTCTTTAACTCTTATCTAATAGATATTTAGGGTTTCTCTTAATCCAAAAACTCTTGCATGTCAAACCCTTATACAAATCCGACCTTATCCCCCTTTCTCAATGAAAGTATTACAGAATAGTAAGAGAGTTTGATTTTAGTGAGAAATAGATTTGGGGTTTGATTTAGAAATTTAGGATTTAATAGGTAAGTGTAATTAGTGTTAAGATTAATTTTGATTTGAATTCCATTGGGAAGTAATATGATAACACTGAATCGCACTGCATATTTGACTCGATTCACACATGTTTATTAGGTTTTTATTGTTATTTTCTTGTGTTATGATTGCATTTTGTTTTGTTTTCAGTTTTTTTGTCTTTCCTAAGCCTTGCTTGAAGAAATGAAGAAAAACGAGCTAAAAATTAAGATTTTAGAGTTTTTACACTTATGGCTTCCACCATGGCGCCCGCCATAGGGTCAGCCATGAGGTGGCCACCTTCAGCCAACTGCCAACTACAATGTTCTCCACTACCTCTTCATTTTTGGAGCATGGAGGCCGCCACACCCCCATGGCGGGCGCCACCTTTGCAATTTCGCTTCCTGCTCAAAAGAAGTTGGAGGGCATTCTTGTGATTTCCAAAGTCCTCCTAGGCCTATAAATAGAAGTGATTTCAGTTCTTATTCTTCATCCAAGCTTAGTTACACTGACTTAAGCCATATATTGTCCAATTGTAACTAGTAATCTCTTCACACTGAATAATTATTGCACGAGTCATTGAGTTTGTAATCAAGTTTGGAGCACTTTACAATCTTGTCGCCATTTTAATTAAAGTTTCCTTTATTTCAGTCAAATTTAACTTCCAGTCAAATTGCTTTAAAGCCCTTCATTTTGAGCTGGTTTCTGTTTAACTTTCCGCATTTATCACACTTATTTCCTCGCACTTTCTTTACTTTATTTATTTTCTTGCATCGCACTTACTTTGTGTATTTTCTCGCATCGTATTTACTTATCTTTTAACCTTTTTATTTTTTTCTTAAACATGATTTTCTGCTTATTTTCTCGCATGTCTGGCTAATTTCCTTTAGGGTTAGAATGTAATGATCATGGTTAAGGTAACTGTCTAAACATTGCATCCATATGAATACTTTAGGGGATGTTTTGGTTTTTAACACAAGTTTTCTGCACTTTATTTTCTGTTGGGTAAGATCGAAAGCCATCCAACCATTGGTAAACTTGGTTAGTCTTAATTGCTCAAAGAGGGCAAAAGCGTTTTGTTCAATTAAGTAAGAACCTTTAACTTTTTAGAAGAAATTATTTCAAAACCTTTTTCGGACGCATTTATAGATTTAAAAGTCTAATCATCTCTTGGTTAGAAGTTCTGAGTCAAAATCACTTTTCAATTTAGTCAAGTAACTATATTTCTTAAAAATAGGTTTATTACTTTAATGCAATACACACCTTTTATCTATGACAATAAAAAGGAATTATTTAAAGAATAAACTCGGTTCTGAATACACGAAAGCGACAATTCCTGTTAAATTAGTTATTTTCAAAGTAGGAAATATTGCCCCATAAGTATTCTATTAGAAGCATTTTAGAGTATTATCTGACTATTATGATTTGCATTCGAACCCGTTTCTTTTATCTGAATTAACATCTTTTACTTTATTTACTCTGCCTGCTATAAAACCCTGATTTAATCTTCCTTAGATTAACATAGTGACAAAAGAATTTGATAGATTGACATTTTGGTCTCTGTGAGATCGATAATATTTTATATTACTCTGACGTGATTCATATACTTATGAATATCACGCATCAAGTTTTTGGCGTTGTTGTCGGGGACCAATTACGTCAAAATTTTGTACCCCGTTGTTACACTGTCTAGACTAAGGCTTAACTAGCCAGTCAATGCGAAAAACTCGTAGTACCAAGAGTTTATTAAACCCTTTAGCGGAACCAGAACGTTACGCTCACGCTCGCCTCTTACTCCAAAGAGTTAGGAAAGCTATGGCCGAAAATCGTGACCAAAGACCCCTTAAGGAGTTCGCCCAACCCTCCAACGAAGAACCTAGTTCTAGTATAGTAAACCCTGCTATTCCTGCCAATAATTTCGAACTAAAACCCTCTCTATTACAACTAGTACAACAAAACCAATTTGCGGGTCTTGATACGGAGAACCCAAATCAACATTTTAAAATCTTCATTCAACTAGCCGATACCTTTAAAACTAACGGTGCTACATCTGAGGCAATTTGTTTAAGACTATTTCCTTTCTCCCTCAGAGATAAAGCCCGTTGTTGGTTAGATTCCCTTCCAGCCGATTTAATAACAACTTGGGAAGACCTTAGGAGAGTGTTCCTTGCCAGATATTTCCCCTTAGTAAGACTTCTGTTCTTAGAAACCAAATAACCAGATTTACTCAAGTCCAGGGAGAATCATTGTTTGAGGCCTGGGAAAGGTATAAGGAATTATTAAGAGTTTGCCCCCACCATGGCCTAGAACAATGGTTGATCATACATATACCTTCTATAA